AAATTAAAGTCTAGTTATTTACTCCGTAGCAAACATGCTGCTGGCTTCAGCACTTGTTAATAAAGGAACTTATCTCCTTGATTAAGAAGGAAACAGAAGCCTATAATCATTAGGGGCCATTCAACACCCCAAAAGCCCAGATCCCATCTCAGTTTTCCTCATCCACAGTCTTGAGTTGTTTTAATTACGTAAATTATTCTTTCAAGTCACCTGCAGTTCTCTTTGGGAAAAGTATAAGCAATTGCAGTATCAGCTCTCTGATGTGCCTTGTTCACTGATTTAGGGTTCTTCCCTTCTCGTGTGCTTCATTCTTGAATTCTGCAGAAGGGACACCAGCAGCTGCAGCCTCCCCTCCCCACCCCAGGACACCTTCTGTGCCCAGGCTGGCTCCCAGCATCCACACTTACTGCCACCCACGTTCACAACCGTCACTACTACATCGTATTCACCTTCCACTGATGCCTCACACATACCTCATAATCCCAATTTCCCTACCTCTGGGTAGTTTACATATGAGTATGATTCACGAGATACCCTTTTCTCATCTGCCCCCTGCTCCTTCTCACGCCAAGCGCTGCATCCTCCGAATCTTCTGTACCTCGACGTAGGGCTGCGGGAGCCAGCGCAACACCTACCATCCAAACCGGATTTACATTTCTCTCCACCTCAGCTGTTCTTCCTTAATAACTCTGCACAGCAGTTTTGGGCACGACAACAAAAGAAAAAACAAAAGTGTAGGCGCTATGAGAGTTGAAGCATTAGCAGAAATTATTCCGGTTTATGACATAGCTGGGATTTGTGAAGGTGCTCAGGCATCAAGACATTTCTGATTATCTATGCTTAAACAGATAAATTTAGAAGTTGGCATTTATAATCTTTCGTAGTGAAGTGATGATATTGTTTAATCAAAATGAATTTAAAGCTGGTCTATTTTCTTCTCTTTGCCCCTTTTTAATAATGCAGCATAGATCCCAGCAGGCAATACATTGTAAAAGATGGATGGAAAGCAAGATATTCAAGTGCAATATATTCTTCATGAAAAGTAGGTGAGAAATTAAGATTACAAATGCTCCTGTCTTCAGCAGAAACAAGACTAATCTTTTCATTTTTAACTTACCTTGTATTTATGAGACATCAGGTACAGACAGTAAAGGAAATTGCAGCACTCACTTAAAAGCAGCGTTAGCAAGTTCTGACAGCTTGTTAAAAGCCATGTCCAAAGTCCAGGTGATGCCCATGGATCACCTGTGACAAGGACCTCATGGAGCTTGGCCTGGGCTTACCCTGACTCGTATCTCTCAGAGGTGGGTTGCATGGCTCTTAGTGGGGACATTTCACATTAACAGGAACACGTTCCTTAAGTTCTCCACAGGATCTACGTGCTGGCTACTGATTAAAAATAAACACAATTATGTTCTACAATTCTACGTCCTCCCACAATTCAAGTCTGACTTCATGCATAGCATGGATTTTCCAGTGCTTACAGTCCAATTTCTTGCCAGATAATGGAAATAAAGTACCCAGAACAATGGAGCCAGTGGAAGGTGCAGTCCATAGCAGTGAAATCACAAGATCATATTCCATCCTTGGTACGCTATAGCATGAAACATGGCTTTGAATGCTGAGTCTGAGAAATTTTGATGTCTAAGTATAATTACTGCCCATGAGCATAGCCCAAGACTTACATTTCATTAATATTCCTAAAATATCATTTCATAAGCGGCACATTGTGGAAATATACACCCCAGGAGATTATCTGGACCAGCATC